TGTGGTACTTAAACAACTGATGAAAGCTCTAGTTATATTATTGAGGCTTGTGCGACCCCACGGGAGCTCCACTGATCTAAAGGCGCACAGTATTGCAATCTATACGTGAACAACACAAAGACTCCCTCCTACTTTATTCCTTATCATCTTCAACTTTTTAAAATCTATTTTTAATTGAATACTAAAGGTGTGTTTAGTTTGTTACATGTGACGTCAAACACCAGCATATAACTACAAACCCTAAGAACCAAATTAATTTTACCTATTATTTTGTGAGGTAGATACATCCAATTATATCGATCTAATTTCACTTTCATGCATAGCGTGACGTTTGGCAGAGCTGCCTGTTTGCTAGTAGAAATGCAGACTCTGTTTGGTGAGATGTCTCCCATCAAACCCTGAATTATAAAAAGCTCTGCCCAAGTCCTATTTCTCTCCTACCACTCACATGAAATTTCCTGTCTTCCCGTGAAGCTCATGACTTTCCTGCAGTCCACCTACTTTGTGTTTCCTCTTTCCCCCTAATAGTAAAATAATTAGTTTAAAAAATCTCAAAAGGCAGGAAGACTTTCCATGATTAATCGAGATTTCCATAAACATCCTTTTCGTGAAGTGTAATTTGAGCAAAGGGATGGAAGAAGGAGACTGGCGAAGATGGAGGGTCAGCATGTGAGAGGAATAATAATATATGCCGTTTTCAATGGCCTTAACCAACTATTTGACCATTCAATTATATTTTTCACATTTTTATTGAGGAAAAAAAATGTAAAGTCAGTAGTTCTTTAAAGTACAAAATTTTAATAGTGAACAAATCAATTTTAAACCATTGTACTTTCACGTTTTTTTCAATTTGGTCTTCCATCTAAATAACTTTAAATGTATTTAAAAAACACCTTATTCATATATATCAAGTAAGAATTTATCTTAAATTTAGAGAGCCTGGTGAAATTGTTTTCATCAAATTAATGATGAAGACATTCAAATAGGCCTTTAAAGTAAGATTCACGCCAATTCTAAAATGGAGGTTGGACGGAACCAACACCCAAAACTAAAAGGTGCTATATATTTGACGCTTTCCAAGTCAATGATGAAGCAGTATTCAATTCTTGCATCCTAAGGAGTGTTGATTTAGTGCTCTCACTCAAGACAAAGAGAGGAATGGTGTTGAATTGCGGTGCGGGAATCAATTGAAACCAACACTAGAAAGGCCATTTGTTAGTAAAAATTATAAACATTTTAAACACTAAAAAAGTTAAAATTTCTCTCCAATAAAACTTGACAGACATTCTAGACAAAAATGTAATTGTGTTTTACTCACAAAACCTTAGATTGTTACTGGGGATAATATGTCTGATTTGAAGAGGAGAGAGAGGAGGAAAGAAAGGAAAATAAAGAAATTTTTTTTATTTAATTATAAAAGATTTTAAAATAAAAATTTCATTTCTTTTATTCTGTTTTTAATTCTTTTACTTATCCATTCCTCTCCCTCAAACCACATAAATCCCACCAGTTTCTCTGATGGTTTTGATTTAGAAATTATGAAAGTTGAAGGGCCAGAAATGAGTTTTTCCAGTTTTATTTAATAAATATCAGGCGTGAAAAGTGAAAACATGAGATAAGATTAACAATGTTATTTTATTCAGAAAATACTAGATATTCGGACCAGGAACAGGAAGGGATGAGCACGTGGAAACAATCAAAAGGCCAGGGCAAAGGAGAACCCAAACTCTGATGTGAAAAAAAGTCAAACAGATAACCACTGCCAACACCAAGTCAAAACAGTGGCAAGTGGTGGCCCACCTCTACCCTCCTCCTACAGTGCGATGAAATCATGGATATCATCTCATCTACTCGTGAGGTCCCCGTCTCATCCTTGGTTCCCTTCCTGTTAAACACCATCATCAAATCCTCTGCACCCCCACTAATCATACTCCATAATTACAAAAGCGAAAAGGGTGTGGTTACTACCACCATTAATTTGTCGAGACTTGGTAATACTGTTTAAAATTTTTTGTCTAATATGGGTTTAAGAGTATATGATTATTACTTAAATTTCAAGTGTTTGAATTTAATTGATAAAAAATTTAATTTTTATTAACACCTTAAAAAAGATATTTCTATTCTTTAAATTTTTTAATGTTAAAAAATATTATTTTATTCAATAATTTTTATTTTATGATACGATACAATTTGAATTATTACGAATTAAGAGGTA